GGGCGGGGGGCGACCTCTCCCCCACCCCCGCTCTCGGAGAGATTCGGTCAATTGGAGGGAGCGGGCCGGGCCGGGCCGGGCCGGGGAGAAGGAGCACAGTTCTGGAGGCCGGTGGGGACCCTCGCCGCCGCCGCGCCCCTCCCGCTCCCCAGCGCCCTCGCGGCCCAGTGGCTCCTGCGAGTCGGAGGCGGCCGCGGAGACTGAGCGACCGCGGGGACCGCCACGGGCTGGGCGCGGGTTCTCGGGCTCAACACTGCCACTGTCTGACACAACAGGAGCAGTGTTGGGGGAGCTGCGCGATGAGACGCAAGACGTGATAGGCTCTCCAAACTGGGTGCGATTTTTTTTTTTTTTTTAACCCTAGTAATTACATTTCACTTTCGGGGGTTATTTGTTGTTGTTGTTGTTGTTAAGCGATTTATCTGCATTCAGACGCTCGTGTGCGTTTGCTTCTTACTCAGGACAACTGGACACTGCTGAGGGGAAGGACAGAGGAACGCATATGGACATCCACGTACAGCTCCCTAACAGGGTGCCGGCAATGAGCCGGGCAGAGTGCCTCAGTGCTAACAAAATGTGACTTTTTAATCTCTCTGAGTGTCCGTATTCGAGCTGCAGAAGGGGGCCTTCTCAGGGCACCTGAGGAATGGAAGAGACCAGCTACCTTACAGGACATCCTAGGACAGATACAGGTTCAGCATGGTCTGCAAATGGTCTGCTTAGGAGCTTGAGGTAGAATTCGGATTTGGAGAGGAGTCCTGACTGTCACATTTTACAGGACCCTTTGAGGACATTTGGACAGAGTGGAGGGGCTTCCCCTTACTGCACAGGCGGGTTGGCTGCTGCTCAGCATTCTGTCACAGAACCTCTTTGCTCTTGCATCTTTCACAGGACTGTCGCACTGAAGGAGACCAAAGAGAATGGGTAGGGGGATCCCCCAGGCTCTCATCCTGGTCAGGGTTCACTCTGAGTCAGAACAGATAGATAGTGCACCTCTTTCTTCCCCTTGGGCTCTCAGGGTCTTTTTTTTTTTTTTTTTTTTCCCAGAGGACTGTTCGATTGGCCACCAGCTTTTCCTGTGTTACTCTTTATTGCGGAGTTTCCTTTGTAATAACATTTCAGTAGGTCATCTGCTGGGCTTTCAGCGGGAGCGTTGTTTTTAGCGGGAAAATAATGCTTAATTTAAAAATATCAGCAGAGCACACGAGCTGATGAGGTAAAAATCAAGGCACAAAATACAATCTAAACTGAACATTATCTGTAATCATACAACTTTTGCCCATTTGCTTGTGCTCCCAGATTTGTGAAACCTAAACTCAAGCCCGTGGAGGACTCTGATGGCCCGTGGGCCACTTCCTACATCTCCAGTGGAGAAAGCACAGCGCCGAAATCACAAGATCTCATCCACAAGCGTATGGCTGACTGCTGTTCATCTGATCCAAAACAAAAGTTTGTTGCCCAAGTTCTTTCTCTAGGCATATACGAGTCCTTCTTCCTGTGTTGTAAGCAGATAAAGAAACACACACCTCATGTAGAAATGACCATAATAGATGATAAGCAAGTGTAAAGAATGATAGTGCAGTGCAAGTTCTCCCAGGGATTCCTAGTGGAATCCCATCATCTTAAAGCTGGAGGAGGAATGAAATGTCCTGAGTCACTAAAGTGATAATCATGAGTAGATTTTATGTCCCTCGATGTATCATCCAATGTTCCTTCCTTCCACATAGCCCATTTTTCGTTATGAGACTTGAGAAAAGGGGAAGGAAAAGAATGCTTGTATGATACAATGGGACCTGTCTTCAAGTTCTAGCTTAAAATCATACACATTGTCGTTATCTTCCTTTCCTCATAGGTCACTGTTTGATTGCCTGAGAGCTAAGCCTTGAAATGTTGTCTAACGCTGATGAAGTAGTAGACCTGGAGTTAGTGCCAGGCACTTTCAGGTACCCATTTACTGGGCCCTAGGACTACTGAGAAAATAAAAGCAGGTAATCTGAGCACCTGATGGGGATGTGCACAGCACACATCATTTGGTCATGCAGTCTCCATGGTCAGACCATGCAGTCCCTCAGCTAATTATTTCATGGCACGGGTGATATATGCCTTACTGTGTTTGCAACTGGAGATACAAATACGATGAAGACACAGTGCCTGGCCTCAAAAAAAATCATGATCTTGTGGAAAACACATCCATGCAAACTTCTAACTACAACTAATGGGTGGAACTATAAGTGGATCAAGCACGGGTGCAGAAATGATGGGAAGGGCCTGTAGTAAAAAGTCCCGTTTCCTTTGGCTCATTTATTCTGTGGGTTTTACATGGATATTTCCATTCTCCTTTTGCATATATACACCTTTTTTTCTGTAACCTATTTTTCCAACCAAATATAAAAGTTATGAGGACTGAGCTGTGCTTTTCATGAACATTGTCAATAAATGAGGATGAGAACAAATATTCTTTTGACATCACCAAATAGCTGATTGCTGCCAACTGGACTGTTTCTGTGTGCTCTATGCATCCATATGCCCATGCTGAAAAATGTCTATAATGAGGGGCTGGGGATTTAGCTCAGCGGCAAAGCACCTGCCTGGCAAGCACAAGGTCATGAGTTCGGTTCCTGGTACCAGAGAAAAAAAAAAAAAAAAAAAAAAAAATGTCTATAATGAGCCTCTTTCTTCCACAGGCCCTAAGCCAGAGATAATGCAAAAATATCCATACAGGATGCTTACACCCACAGGACGTGGGGACTTCAGACCTATGTAGAAGTTCAAGGTAGGAATCAAAGTATAAGGGCAAGTCATGTCAGTTTATATCTCTGAATATAGGTAGAAAGAAATGAGGCTAAGCCAGCCATTCTTCCTTTATATATAAAAAAATTTAGCTAAAGTAATGTGATCAAATGCTCAGAACCAATCACCTTCCCTCCTTGGGTTTAAATAGAATATTCTCACCTTTTGGGAAAATGAGGTACTGTTCTGTAATGCAGGGCTTCTCAGCACTTATTGTAAATCAGAACTAACTGGGGAAATTACTGATGCTTGGGATCTATCTTGATTTAATTACTCTTGAATAGACTTAGCATTAGCACTTCTGATAAATGCTCCAGATGCTTCTGATATGCAGTCAGCAATGAGAGTCACTGATTTAACTGAATGTGCAAAGCTCCACCATGTGATCAGGATCTCAGGATCTCAGCAAACTTTCTACCCTTTCAGGTTAGGTAGCATTAATATAAAGGGTGCCTAACTAAAAGAGAGGATAGGTAAAAGCAGATCATTAAGAAAATTTAGTTTTAAACTTATTTTGCAGTTTGTCTCATCTCTCTCTCATCAGATTTTATGAGAGAGAGAGACAGAGAGAATGAATTCTCAAGTTTTCTGAGGACCAAGACAGCTATAGAAATCTCTTCATCTTTGATTCAAGGACACAAGAGAGTCTCAGCAGGAGAAAGCATACAGGGAAAAGTCAGAGGAATACATAAAAGCTGCTCTCAAATGTAAGAAAGGCATCAGGGAAAACAGGGATTAGTTTATTTGACCTTGCCCTGGGGGCATCACAAGCCCCAATCAGCTGTGGTTATAGAGAGGCAGATCTCTGCTCAATATAATGAAAAACACTGTAACTAGACCTAAGATGAGAATATTATTTTATTCAGTGATGAGCTCTGTCTTAAGAAGTGTAGCCGGAAAGATTACATGACTTTATTTTTCTACTTTCTCCCAGTGCATGAGCTATGAAGTACTTAGGGTCAAGACTTTGCTGTGCACTGCTGTATCTTCACTGGATAAAATTGTACCTGGAGTGTTGATTTAATGTCAGAAATATTTAATTATCAATATGACATGGAGCCAGTTCATCAGAAAGGACATCGGCACATGGATCTGCCTAGCCAGATAACATCCAGTTTGTTGTTGGATCCTGAGGAAGTTCAGGACAATGACAGGGCAATGGGCATAGAAGAGTTGGTTTGGATCCGAAGCTATATAAAAATTTCAGTGTTTACCATCATTTTGCCTAACCACACATATTACATAAACATCAGTGCTTAATCACAAATGAATGAATCATCAAACAAGCAAGCAAACGGGGAGGCAAGAATACCAGCAGCAGACTTGGATTTTTGCTTTGTAGTTTCAGGTGTCTCTACCTCAGTTCCTCTTCCATCACTGCAGAAAACATAATATTTCCCTAACAAATCAATCATTAAGAGGTTCACAAGAAACACAAGTAGAAAGTTACATTAGGAAGTTAAATTATTCTGTTCAAATACTGTGTTTGATTATTGAACTATGATACGGACACTTAACTCCCTCCAATGTAGCCTAATTTACCAGGTCTGAAGGGCATATTATAGCTTTCTTCCTCTAGGATATTGGAAGGTAATTTCCATTCCTGAGATCTCTCATTCTTTAGCTCCACTTACAAGTGACTCCTTACTCTAGCCCCTTTCTCTGATGCTATTGTAGTTGCTTAGCCTCAAGGAGCAACTGTCATTGTGTTAGGAAGGGAAATTTAAATGAGATAGTGATTGAATTGTGGCATTGGAACCTGTGCTTCCCTAGCTACAGGAAACTCACTTTGGAAAGTTTTCCTGCACATGGTTCCTTGTGTGCATCTTCCAGGACAGTGACTATGACTATTTGAAATGCAGCAAGGTCAGGAGGAGAATTCTTCTGGATTTTCATTTTCTGGCTCCTTGGCAGACTTCACAGTGCTTGGCATCTACAGCAAGACCCAATACATTCTCAGTCCCTAACTGAGCCTTTGTAGTGCACCTAGGAGAAGTTTATATCACCATATGTCCTAGGAGCCCAAGATCTCAGAAGAAAACCCGTGGGCAGTGGACAATGGAGACTTTTCCTCCTCCCTACAAATCCCCACACATGGGCCAATGCAGACAAACTGATGAGCAGACAGGTGCTCTGTGCATGATTTGTTCAAACTGAGGGGAGTTTCCTAATAGGATGAAGGGAACCTCGTGAAAGACAAATATAGGAAAAATCACTGGGCCTCACAAGAAGCAGGAAGTAGTTGAGCAGCAATTCTCCTTTTCAGTTGGCACTGGACTCTCACCTGTTTCCCTATCTTTCTGCTGTACACCTTCAGAAATGAATTTACTCTGCAAGATTCTTGGTTTTGCTCCTTTTTGCCTTTTACACTGACTTTGGTATCTCTTAACTCTCCATGACAACCCTCAACTGTATTGGCCATCATTTTTGTGATCCAGCTTCCTCATGGAAAGATGTCAAACTGCCTCCCAGCCCCCAAAGGCCAGAGACTGGTAGTGCATATCTGACCCATCAGCCACAAGCCCTTCTCCCTTAGAAATGGAGGTCATGGGCATCCAAAGGTGTTTAGAATAAAGATAGAAAAACCACTCAACAGATTTAAAGATTTGCAACACCAGTGTTGTCCTGAAACATGGAAAAAACTTGGTCTTAAAGTTAGTCAGGTTTAGGTTTGACTTACCCTGAGGAAAATGAATCAAGCTCCCTAAGTTTCAGGGTTTTTATCTGAAAAATGCTCCTATAGTATCACCAACTCTTTAGAGGTTTAGTGAGGATTGCATGTAGTTAAATGAGATAATGTACACAGAGCACCTATGTAGCCAATATTACTCTAGGTGCTACAAGGGTAGAGGAGATACACAACACACTTTTTATATCAATAAACATTCACTGAAGACATGCTATATTTGGGTGGAACTTGGTACTAGGGATAATATAGAAACTATTCAGATGTGTTATTTCCCTGAGAAGTTACAATCTACTAAAAAAGACTTATTCAGTGTTAGAACCACACTGTCATTTCACCATCTTCATTTCTTAGTGGTTGAACTGGAAGGAAAGACGGGTCATGGCTCGTTCTTATCATCTTGCCCCAGGCCAGCTGTAGCTACGAACAGCAGGAGAGACCTCTGCACGCAGCTATTCCTTGCCCACATGCAGCTTGTGGTTTGTTTTAGCATACAAGACTACATGTGAGCCAGTAAGAAAAGAATATGAGAGATAGTATGGAACTTTGCCAGTTACTCCCAAATATGGACATGTGAAAGAGTCCCTTTTGGAAAGGAATTAGGTGAAATGCTCTTTAAGGTGCTATTCATATGGTATAGTGAAAGAAAGAGTTGAGGAAAAAAGAAATCTGAGTACATTACGATTAAGATATAAACTTCTCTAGACAATTTGAATTACCCTTAAAAAACAAGGCACAGATAGAGAGGAAGTTGGATAGTCCAATCTATCTAAATAAGTGAGTTTTCACCATGGAATATTTTACAAGCGTGTGGAATTCCAGTCTTTTTTTTTTGCTAATTGGAGTTGGCTCTTGCCTTGATTAAAGTCATATGAGCATTAGAAAACTTGGATAAGGGATGGACAGCTTCTAGAATGGGAGGAGGGTACCACAGGCAAACATTAACTTGAACTCTATTTCCTGAACAATGGGTTCATTCCAGACTCTGAGGTCTAAATCTACAGTCTCTCTTTATGCCTTGGTTGTTAAACTACTCATGCCTGTGTACCTACCCAATATAGCACTATGACACATTAAATCCTGACACCAGACAGAGCCTTTTAAAAAATTTCCTTTCATTCAACCCCATTTCCAAATGATTCAGCACAAGTTCCATGGATCTAAACCAGCAGGAAAACTGAGACAAATTACTCAAAGTTGCACAGCTAGTAGATATCAGAACTGGGATTTGAAGCCCAGTAATCTGACTCCAGAGCCAACCCTCTAATCCATTGCTCTTTAAAGCAATTCTACTGCAAGGCTGTCTAGCCAGGAAGCAGCAGAGAAACACCTGGATGCTCCTTCCATGGTCTCTTCAGAATGTAGTCAATGAGCTTGTTGATTTCAGCTTTCTAACTAAATGAATCACAGTAACACTGAAACTTCAAATTATAGATCTGGCAGGTTCATTAGAGATCATTTGAACTAAACAATTCATTGTAGAAATGATAGAAAGCTGAGAACCAGGAAGATAAACATGCAAGTAACAAACATGATAAACATGCAGATAAAGAAGGCCAGGCTTAAGAACCAGTTCACTGGACTATGTTCAGATTCCAGACTTGGTTATACCTGGGGCAGACCAATTCGCAGCAGGGAAAAGAAGACTATGAAGCTCAGCAAATAGGTACCTTAATGTTAGCATGGATATGTGGGCAAGTATTCTTTAAGAAAATAATTTGGCAGAGACATTTGTCATTGCTCATTTTAAATATGAATTATGGCCTGAAGGAAAGAAAATACAGTTGAATGGTACATGTTTAGACCAGTATTCTCTTTATAATTATTCAAATTTTCATTTTACTATAATTGGTATTAATAAAATGTTTTAGAGGAGAAAACAAAAGAAAAAATATGGGGATGTAGCTCAGGGGTCGAGCACTTGTGAAGCATGAATGGTCCAGCCCTTGCGTAGCATAGCATGAAGTTTTCCTACCACTACAAAACAAAAAGAAATAAAAACTGTTTTCAGTGAGCCATTTTCCTTTGGTAGTTACTACGTTCTGTGTGTAATGGTGTGGGCCCTGAAACACCTGTATGTGCTTGCAGACTGTTTGTAACCAACATTCCCAAGTTTGAGAGAATAAAGGTGAAATGAAATGTGCAGGCCCAATAAAATTTAATTTTGTTTAACCTTAGTGCACAAGATAAGAGGTTGACTTATTTATTTATTATACGCTTCAAATAAGTATGCTTCTTATTAAAAGTGGTGAAAAGCCTTTTTTAAAAAGTGTGAAACAAGGCTGATAAAGTTATATTTCTTAACTCAAGATTCATATGTTTATTAGTTGTGCCAGAGCAGGTGTGAAAAGGGTCAGAGTTCAGTGCTATATTTATTAAGAAGGTGGGGCAGACTGGGGAAACAGCTCCCTGAAAACAGTGGATCAATCAGATGGGAAGGGTAAGCCTATAATGATATCTATGTTTAGTTACACCTGAGATAAAGGTTCAAAGATAAAGACAGTAAGTACACTGAGTGTGTTGGCAAAACTTTATAGCTAAGAATTTGAAAGATATGCTTTTCACACTAGGGGGAAGAGGAGATTGTAAAGGGCAGGGACTTGGACTGGCAAAGTGGACACAAGACAAGGCAGGTCTTTGGAAGTGGTGGACACATTAAAAAATAAAGCAAAAGGGAAGATCTATGAGCCCAATGTGGAGTGGTGCATTCCAAGAAGGTATCTCTGGCTCTGAATCTCAAATGCAAGAAGTGTAAAGCCTAGTGATGTAAAAGGAGCTCCCAGAGGACAGTGACTTGCACCTGATGAGCAGTGCAAGGATAGCCTATCCTGGAGGAAATGAATTATGTAACACACATACAAGTTGATTGTACAGTGTCCACGTGTTACCCTTTCTGTTGAAAGAGAGCATGAAGAGATGACTGAAGTTTTTCTTTCAATCAGGTTGGTTTGATGCCCGGAACAATGTTGAAATTTATCTGGCAATCAGTATATCTGCTGTGAAGAAATACGGAAAAGCCAGAAAAATTGAGGCAGCAAGTTGAGCGATGTTGACTAATAGGTCCTCCTCTGTGGAAAGGAGTATCTCACTTACATTAGTAAATAGCTTCTACTCAAGGATGAGCCTTTGATTAGGTGGGTAAATCTGTTATTTTGGGAAAAATCAGAACTATTATAGTACGTATATAAGCAAAAGTGTATCGTCTCTCCTGAGGAGTTTTAAGTGAATAAGAAAGAAATAAGCACTTTGCATCAGTGATTTCAAAGTATTTATTGGATACTAAGTACTGCTAAAGATTTTTCTTGCAGCAGATTTCTCCTTTCCACAGTTGATTTCTAAGAGTTGATTTCTCCAACAACCTTTGGTGTAAACTCTTCTCTGCATTTAGTACCAATATCTTTTGACAGTGACTACATCTCATACCCTATCTGGCTAATATTTTCCACTCTGAAGTAACATGGGGTCTTACCTCGTCATGTACTCTAAGAGTCGAGTAGGAAAGGGAAGCTCAGAGAAGTGAAGCAAGCCCTGAGTCCAGGCCAGGTGAGGTTACAGTTTAATTATTTTATCATCTTCAGGGGAGGGTGTCCCAGATTCCTTGGAAACTGGAACCAGACCCTTCCCAACTTGTATTTCCCTCCACTCTGTTATTCATGTTCTTTAAACTCTTTGCCTCCTGCCACATGTCTCTGCTGATGAGATTTTGAGGTTAAGAATTGGGGTGACTTACAGTAGTCTTTTAGTCATGTAGAGGAGTAGATTTCCATGTCTGGCTATCACAGAGACAGAGGATAATACAAAAAATATGGTGAATGTCAAATTTAAAAATTTATTACAGCAAAAGAATCATTGCCATTAGTCCTCCTCAAAATACTCCCCCTCACTTTGAACACAATTATCCTATCATTCTTGCCACTTTCTAAAGCAGTCTTGGCAGCACTCTTTTGTGACTTGACAAGATGTGATCAAGAATATAGTAAATTTGGCAGGGCATGGTGGCACACACCTATAATCCCAGCATTTGGAAGGCTGAGGCAGGAGGATTGCTGTGAGTTTGAGCCCAGCCTGGGCTATAAAGTGAGTTCAGGGCCAGCCTGAAGTTCATCGTGAAACCCTGTCTCAAAACAAAGAAAAGAAAAAAGAAAAGAAATGAAATGAAAGAGAAGAAAAAAATGCAGTGAATGCTGCTGCTGCTGAGTACAGTTCAGTGGAAAGGCAGAACTGTGAAAACATTATTGTGTGTCCTTGTCCATTTTATTTATAGGGCCTGGCACCATGTAGCTTCTGGCTCCTCCCCAAAGTCAAAATGACTATGAAAAGTAAATGCTTTGAATCTATTCAGGACATCAAGTCAAGGCATGATCATAGGATTCTGGTCAACTGGTAGTTTCAAAAGTGACCTGTGGAATTCTCCAAGACAGTACCTAGTTGCTAATCAATTGACCAAGATGGTGAAAAGATCCACTAAGTGGAATGAAACAGAAGGAGTCCGACACGTTGGAGTGTTGTATCAGTCCAATATCATCTTACCAGATTGCATAGGAACAATTCTTATTGTGAAGAGTCTTTTCCCTTGCTTTTACTCATTGCCTAGACTACTCCTACCTAATCAGAATATCCTGTTAATATTCTTGCACCTGAATAAACTTATAGTACAGACATAATGAGTTCTCCATATATTAATGGTTACATAGGACAGAGTAGGTAAGATTTCACTGTACTTGAATTCTAAAATCAATACTCATTACATGCTTTGGATTGGTTCTTTTGGAAGAGTTCCTATTATTATGAGCCTCTTCCTCACTCAAGTTATCTATCTCATTAAGTTAAATGACTATTCATTGTTTAATTTCAATGTGTTAAGATATTGTCACCAGGGGTTTCTTGTTAAAATATTAGTTTATACCTGAAATGAAAACTCAAAATTTACACAATTAAGGTTAATGTCTCAAAGGGTCCAGAAATGGCAAACAGGGAATATTAATTTAGGTTTTAGTTCTGTAGTAAAATTTTAATTCTTGAATTAACAATCACTGGTAACCCAGAGACTTATACCTTAATGGCAGAAACTCTATGGTACAAATCATAAGTAAAGCTGTAGGGTTCTAGGTAAAATGAGGTAAAAGATTGAGTTCAGGCAGTGGGGGACCCACTCCTGAGAACTCCAAGCACTGTATGAGTTCGAACAGCAGCTTTTCATGTTCCGTACCTTTAACCATCCTCTCTCTTCGCTTCATATTTTCCTGCTTTCTGTTTTTGCCCCTGACTTCAGAGGACTCTATTTTTCCAAAGAGGAGCTAGGAATGGTAGTAATGAGTCCATCCGGGACTGGTAATGACTGCCCTGTGTACACATGAGCGTGTTAACTCCTCTCTCTTATTGCTTGTGCCCTTTAGGGTGTGGCACAGCACTGGCCCTGCCCTGATCCAGCCGGTAGAAAAGGTGAGTGTGTGGCAGTACTTTCTGAGTCTCAGTTTAGCATTCCCTTTCTACATGCCCTATGAACCTTCTTTGGGGAATTCCTTGGGAAAACAAACAATGAGAGGGAAAAGCAGGGGAGCGAATAACAGATAAAACTAAGCATCTAGCCCCAACACAGAGGCAGTACAATTGTACGGGTCTATAGGAAGACACCTAGTCATGGGAAATGATCCCGCCATAATCCTGAAAAGGGAAGAAAGACTGTGAGGCTCCCTGGATGGCACGGGTTGATCATTTAAGGCCTTGTGTGAGGCTAAGTAGTCACTGAAGGTAACGGAGAATGTGGACTTTGGCTGAAATCCTTTAACTTTGATAGTTTATGTTTTGAGATCACAGGGATTTTAAGGAACCACAAATTAGAAGAGGGGAGAAATTCTAAAAGTGAGTTGAAGAATGGAGGGTAAAGACAAATTGATTTTCTACCTGTGTGGTATCTTTAGTCTTTAGTAAATATCATATACCACCGGTTTATGAAATCCAAGTTTCAACCAGAAGTCATGGGAACAGCTGAAGCTTTGTCCCTTTACCACTCACCCACCAGCCAGGGGTATACAAAGACACTGGTGATTCTGCCAGCAGTTTTTGAGGCTGGGACATCCAAAATCATAATCTTTAAGCCTAGAATTGTGGTAAAGGCAGATGTCTTTTTGGGCACATCTAAGGCTCATCTTGGCTAGAGATGGATGGCTTGGTATAGATAGTCTCAGGGGGTTTCATGTGTCCTGTAATTCTTTGCACAGCAAGCCTTTGCTTTTGTTATTTTATTTAAACCGCTGCAGCAGATCTGACCTAATTTAACTGTTACCATTTCCTCCATGCAAAAAGGAAGTTCAGAGAAGCTCAGGGCTGTTGTGAGAATTCCATAGCTCACCTAAGGTTTACCTGCCCTATCCTACCTAGTTCATTAACACCATCATAACGAAGTTTTATCCAGGCCTCTCAGTACCTACCTTGAGTTAGAGCTCTGGGTCTTTTATCTCTGACTGTTACTATTGGCTAATAGAGCTGACTTCGTGTTACTGTACTTGCGAGCTGTGGTTGCTTATTTGGTGTGATATACAGATGCCCCCAAGGAGTTCTGTATTGGCTTCCACAGTGTCCTATACATCCATTTGAGTCAAACTTCAGAGTTCCCAAGGACACATCACAGTTAAAATGTACAGATCCCCCAGGAGAGAATGAAGGGTGGGGCCATTTGCACATTAGCATCCATTAATGAGCACACAGGCACAGTATGGTTATCAGATTAGCTGGCTCCATTCTTACAAATCTGGAAGCCAAGCCTGGAGGGGAAGGAACAGGATACAGGCCAGCATGGCTAGATGAAAGAGAGCAAGAAGGAAGACTTCTGGATTTTAGAGCTCAGTCCTGGCTGAGTCTCCGCGGAACACATGCAGAAGCCAACGCTGGCACAAGACAACCGGTTTCTGGAAGGAAGAACGCTAAAACTACCCAGGTGTTTAATTATGGGGGTGGGGAGAGCATGGACAAATACTTCTTTCTTCTTTTCACCATACAAATCCTTTAAAAATATAGAGTGCACGAATATCATAAGAAAGATGATAACTATACAGGAATGTTAAAGGTTGGGATTTTATGATTCCAATTGCCTCAACTTTTGTGATTGAAAAAAGCAACCGAGTGACTGTTGCAGTGTTGTTAGGTTGTATGTAGCTTTTGGTACCCTGTTCATGGCTTCCTTATATTTTTAATAGCCTTTGTGTCCTGTCATACACATCTGTCATTCCTCCTTTTGACCTTTGAGATCACACCTCCTTATCAAGGATCCTCCACCCTTCCTTCTCCAGCAGGACCCACAATATAATTGTGGCTATTTAATTAAAAGACTATTCATAGAACACGTCTCTTGGTAAGATGTGTATATGGTAGGTATACATTGACATCCAACTTTTAGTGATTCAAGGCTGTTAGAAAACCCAGCCAGAAATCTACAATTCACTGAGTTTCCTGATAGCTCTTTGCTCTACATAAACACAGATTTGAATTAGCTTTTTGAATCACCCCAATCAGGTAATTCTTGGAAAAAATAAATTTGATCAGAATGATTAGTGCAGTTAGGTTAGGTTACTTTTCTTGTTGCTGAGACAAAACACCTGACACAAGTTAAGGGAGGAAACATTTACTTAGCTCACAGTTTATCGTGGTTTCAGTCTACAGCCGGTTGACTCTAATGCAGAATTGGCGTGGCAGCAGGCATCAGAGGAGAAACAGTTCATGACAAGGAGGAGATAGCAAAGCAAGTGAGGCACAGCTCTATCTATGCCTTATATCTTATCCAGGCTGCTTAGGACAGGTAGCACTCACACTCTAAATCCTAGTGCCCTCGATCCTACCATAGCACCATGGATCAATCCCAGCGGCACATACTTTAGATCAGCCACCTCTGAAAAACCCCACATATGACTGCCTGAGGCTTTAGGGGATCATCTAAACACAAGCAATAACAGTAGCTGTCTACATAGATCTAAAACTCTCCCTTTTTGTTTTCTGTAACAATTGCCTAAAGCTGTATTTGACTGGCAATAGTAAGGTCAACCATGCAATTGTAAGCAGCTTCTGGCTGAATTCAGGCAGCATATGCCAAAATGATCAATTAATGCAAGACAGCCAAGACATGATCTAGAGCTGTGTTATGGTTTAAATCTAAAGTGCTCCCCTCGCCTCATGTGTGTGAATGGTGACTGCAGCATGGGGGCACTGAACTCATTAGTGGATTCTTCCATGGGTGCATTCAGTAGATGAACATACTATTAGGAGGTGGGGCCTTGAAGGGGCTCACTCAGGGCATGTCCTAGAAGGTGATATCTCCCTCCTGCTGCTCCCTTCTCTCTCTGCTTCTTGCCCAGCATGTGTTGAGCACCTCTTCCTCTGCTGTGCTCCTCTGCCACTGGGTTTCTGCATTGGCGCCAAATGACCATGGACCGAAAGCAAGAGCCGAAATAAACCTCTCCTCCTTCAAGACATGGATGTTGGGCATTGTATCCCAGTAACAGAAAAGTGATTAATACAAGTTGTAACTTGGACACAAAATACGTCGACCTGTCTGCTGCACAGTTATCTAGAAAGTGAGGGTAAAAATTTCAGCCTACTTATTAACTCAACTCAATGTCATAATCAAATTAGATTGTGAATTTTGTAGTCCTCTCAAAGCTAAAGTACACTAAGTGTTGACAGTTTTTTTTTTTTTTTAAATCAGCAGACTGGCCATTGCACAGTCTAATCAGCTTGGTCAAGGTCTAACCAAGCTTTAGAAGGAGAGGCTTTAAATATGTGACTGTTGTCTTGGGTGTCCAATTTGCCACTCTTCTCTCTTGTTACTCCTGCTTATCCTTGGAAACACTGCAAGTGATTTTCATCTGATTTAGGAAAGTGATGAAGCACAGAGACTATCTGTAAACATAAAGAATACAATGGGAAATATTATGTGTGTGTATAAAGAGAAATAAAACCAGGCCAAAAAAAAGTTTTACAGGTTGTCTCCAAAGAATTATAAAATTAATGGATGAAAGGCACGTTGTTACTTTTTTATATTTGCATTTTGCCAATGGAAAGCCTCATAATATTTTTACTATACTGGTAGGCTTGGCTCTTCCGCTTGTCACGTGGATTGAAAACAGCCTCTAGAGCCTGGGGCTGCTGGCCGTGTGGGCCTGGAGAGTCTTAAGTCATGCCGAGCCAGGCTTCTCCAGCACCCTCACCTGCACAGCTGAGCAGGTGCATAGCACTAGGTCTGACTGTGCTTCCTACAGCTAGGCTTCAGTCACACTCTCTCAATATGCCTTTCTTGGAAAACATTCTCTAGTCTCCATCTTCATTTAGAGTCCGTCTTAAAAAGGGAAGCCAAACCAATGAGAAATGTTAATTATGATAAAACTTCAGGATTATTCTTTATTTCTCTGATGTAATCATTCAAATGCTTTTGAATGATGAATGTCTTGATGTTTGGTTTTCATCTGAAGAAGTGTTTCTTTTGCTTTGCAAAATTGGTGAATTTGTTTATCCAATTTGCTATAGATGGAATTGTACACACTCTAAAATTCATATACTGAAGCCCTAACTGTCACTGTGCTTTTATTTGGACATATGTTTTTTAAGAGGCAATAGTGGTTAGAAATTCAAAAAGATGGACCCTAATCTTCAGGGTTTATGGCCTTATATGAATTTGGACAAAAGCGAAGAGGGGAAGGGAGAGGAGCTAGAGAGAGACAGACAGACAGACAGACAGAAACTGAGACAGACAGACAAGAAGAGAGATTTGATAACATGGTGAGAGCTTCTAAAGCATGTGAAAATAAAATTCTATTACTTAAACCATGCCATCTATAGTATTTTGTTATGGTATCCTGAGCCAACTATTACACAGTTAAATTTCTTGGCTTTATTTATTCTCAATCAATTAAGGATTAATTTGGTCATTCAATTTAAAAGCAATTTGTTTCCCAAACATGCTAATTGTTTAGATGACCCAGCAAAGAAGAGGTTGGATGATGGTTGAGTCTGTACCTTGGCATCACAGGGGTCATGTAATTTGATAGTTTTCCCAGCAATGACTGTTCACCTAAACCTAATCCTCCAGCTTACTGAGTTGTATTCTTGCTTGCTTTGCACTACAGGGAAAACTTAGACACTATCAAATCCAGAGATTGTCCAATATATCAAAAATAATCTATGTAGCCAACACTCAAAACCTCAAAATTATAAAGAGAGGATTGAAATACTATCATGTTTTTTAAAAAATATTTCTACATGGCAAAGACAGAACATTATCACAGAGTCAAAAGATAAATGACAGATTAGAAATAAGAATTGCACCACTTAAAATTAAAAATCTGATTGAAAATGGGCAAAGCAAGTGAACAGGTAGTTCACAGGTCATATTCTTCTACATGTGAATGTCTCTTAAATATATGAAAAGATTCTCTATATCTTTCATAGTTGAA